ATTACATTGACAGATTTTTCATATATTGAACCATCCCTGCATCTCTGGGATGAACCTACTTGATCATGGTAAATGATTTTTTGATGTGTTCTTGGATTTCATTTACCAGTATTTTATTGATTATTTTTGCAACAATGTTCATGAGGGAGATTGTGTATCAGGGTAACAGTAGCCTCATAAAAAGAGTTTGGCAATGTTCCTTCTGTTTCTATTGTGTGGAAAAATTTGTGGAGTATTGGTATTCTTAGCTCTTCTTTGAAATTATGGTAGAATTCTGCTCTAAAACCATCTGGCCCTGAGCCTTTTTTGGTTGGGACACTTTTAATGACTGTTTCTATTTCCTTACGAGTTATAGTTCTATTTAAATTGTTTATATTGTCTTGACTTAATTTGGGTATGCAGTACCTGTCCAAAAATTGTCCATTTCTTTTAGATTTTCCAATTTTGTGGAGTACAGGTTTTTGAAGTATGACCTGATGATTCTCTGGATTTCCTCATTGTCTGTTGTTATGTCTCCTTTTTCATTTTTGTTTTTGTTAATTTGGATTCTCTCTCTCTCTCTCTCTCTCTCTCTCTCTCTCTCTCTCTCTCTCTGCCTTTTAGTTAGTTTGGATAAGAGTTTATCTATCTTGTTGATTTTCTCAAAGAACCAATTTTTTGTTTCATTGATTCTTTGTATTGTCCTCTTTGTTTCTATTATATTGATTTCAGATCTCAATTTGATTATTTTCTGGCATCTGTTCCTCCTGGGTGAGTTTGCTTCTTTTTTTTCTAGAGCTTTCAGGTGTGCTGTTAAGTCACTAGTGTGAGATTTCTCCAACTTTCTTATGTAGGCATTTAGTGCTATGAACTTTCTTCTTAGTACTACTTTCATAGTGCCCATAAGTTTGGGTATATTGTACATTCATTTTCATTGAATTCTAGGAAGTCTTTAATTTCTTTATGTTTCCTTGATGCAGTGGTGATTCCATTCAGCATTATTCAGTTTCCATGAGTTTGTACACTTTCTGTAATTTGTGTTATTGTTGAATTCTAACTTTAAGCCTTGGTGGTCAGATAAAATACAGGAGGTTATTCCATTTTTTTTTTCTCTGTTGACATTTGCTTTGTGACTGAGTATGTTGTTGATTTTAGAGAAAGTTCCATGGGTTGCTGAGAAGGTATATTCTTTTGTATTTGGGTGGAACGTTCTGTAGATGTCTATTAAGTCCATATGAGTCATAACACCTATTCATTTCCTTATTTCTCTGTGAAGTTTCTGTCTGGCAGACTTATCCATTAGTGAGAGTGGTGCATTGAAATCTCCCACTGGTAGTGTGTGGAGTTTGATGTGATTTAAGCTTTAGTAATGCTTCTTTTACATATGTGGGTTCCCTTATATTTGGGGCATAAATGTTCAGAATTGAGGCTTAATCCTGATGGATTTTTCCTGTGATGAATATAAAATGCCCTTCTCAATCTCTTTTGATTAATTTTAGTTCGAAGTCTATTTTATTAGATATTAGGATAGCTACACCAGCTTGTTTCTTTGTCCATTTGATTGAAAAATCTTTTCCCAACCATGTACTCTTACAGGTGATGTCTGTCTTTGAGGTGAAGGTGTGTTTCTTGTGTGCAACAGAAGGATGGATTCTGTTTTTGTATCCATCTGTTAGCCTATGTCTTTTTATAGGTGAATTGAGTCCACTGATGTTAAGGGATATTAATGACCAGAGATTGTTAATCCCTGTATCCCTGTTATTTTTTTATGGTAGTGTATGTGTGTGTGTGTGTGCACGTGCACACACGTACACACACACACACACACACACACACACACACACACACACACACACATGCACACATGTACATTTGCCTTCTTTGGGATTTGCTGCTGTGGGTTTATCTACTTACCTGTGTTTTCATGGGTGTATCTAACTTCCTTAGGTTGGATTTTTCCTTCTAGTGCTTTCTGTAGGGCTGGATTTGTGGATAGGTATTGTTTAAATCTGGTTTCATCATGGAATACTTTGTTTACTCCATCTATGGTGATTGAAAATTTTGCTGGGTATAGTTGTCTGGGCTGACATCCTTGATCTCTTACTGTAGCTGGAGTTTCTCTGGTCCCACCATCCCTGTGGTCCTGCAGCCCACTTATAAAATAATCACTCAGAAACTTATACTAATTTTAACTGTATGGCCATTAGCTCAGGCTTATTACTGATAGCTCTTAAACTTAAATTAACCCATAATTCTTATTTTTGTTTAGCCACGTGGCTTGGTACCTTTTATCAGTTCTACCTTGTCATCTTGCTTCCTCTGTGTCTGGCTGGCAACTCGTGATTCAACTCTTTCTCTTCCCAGAATTGTCCTTGTCCGTTTTTCCCACCTATACTTCCTGCCTGGCTACTGGCCAGTCAGCATTTTATTTATTAGCCAATCAGGGCAACATGCTGGGGACCAGCCTCAGCAGTTTTGAGGGTCTTGATGGGCAGGGATGTCTGGCAGGCTCAAGAAAAGACTTGGACACATGAGTCGATGCAAGCTTGTCTTGTCAGATCTAGAGATGTGAGTCTTCTCTGCCTTCTCTCAATCTGACTCAAACTCAGTCTTTTATCATAATAATACAAGGAAATAGGGGATGAGAAAATTCAACAGGTGATTAGGTTCTTCACAATAGTTTCAAAAGTTCTTTTTTGGAAATCAGCAGAGTATACCCGTACCCCTTGATTGCACATAGAAGTTCCCAGGAAGAAAGCCAAAGCATGCCAGCTTATTCTTTGGCAGGTTAATAATTATCAGAACATCTGATCACCCCAGAGGCCATCTACTTGAAGTTTCCCAGAAATCACAGAAATACAAGCAATGGTTTAAGGTGCCAGACTGTCAGCTTCCTCTCAGCTCAAGTCCTTCATCTTTCTGCAATTCGTCAAGCTGTCTTCTAACTAGTTCTGGACACCTCTTGTCTTCTATCCTATCTGTATGTCACTCCATCTACAGTTTTCTGCCACCGGCCTTCTGGGTTTTTCCCATGACCTGCAGAGCAGCTTTAACTCCTGCCGTTGTCACAATCTCAATATCATGGAAATCACCGCAGGAGAGAGAGAGAAAGTCATAAAGAGCAAATGGAGTAGGAGGATCAAGAACCAGTAACAGTTGGATGGGTGAGACCATGACATGCATACACCATAAAGTCTGCCCTCAGAATACAAGGTTGTTTTATCCCTGGCCTGCAGAAGGCAGGCTTAGTGGAATATCCGGTGGGGCAGGTCTGGAGGGATTGATGTCCTCATTCTCAGGTACCTCCAGCACAGATTCCACTGGTAACACGTCAGGCTTTTCATATTCTATCTCTAGCAGCAACACACATTCACAGCATACAGAATGACATTTCACAGCATCTTACTGTCTACATAACATCTGGCTTTCAGAGTCTCCACTGCAAAGTCAGGTGTTATTCTGGTGAGTCTTCCCTTATATGTTACTTGGCCTTTTTCCTTTGCAGCTCTTAATATTTTTTTCTCTATTCTGTATGTTTAGTGGTTTGATTATTTTGTGGTGAGGGGACTTTTTGGGGGGTCTAGTCTACTTGGTGCTCTGTAAGCTTCTTGTATCTTCATAGGCTTCTTTAGGTTGGGAAAGTTTTCTTCTATGATTTTGTTGAATATATTTGCTGTGCCTTTGATCTGGTATTCTTCTCCTTCTTAAATTCCTATTATTCTTAGGTTTGGTCTCTTCATGATGTCCCAGATTTACTGGATGTTTTGTGTTATGACTTTGTTGGCTTTAATGTTTTCTTTGACTGATGAATCTATTTCCTCTGTCATATCTTCAACACTAGAGATTCTCTCTTCCACCTCTTGCATTCCCTGGTTATGCTTGCTTGTAGTTCCTGTTCATTTACTCAGATTTTCCATTTCCAGAACTCCCTTGGTTGTGTCTTATTTATTGTCTGTATTTCAATTTTCAAGTCATGATCTGTATCCCATCTCCTGTTTGCTTTTTCTTGGCTTTTTCCCCCCGGGATTTATTGATTTCTTCCAATTTTGTCTTTTCCTTGAGGGAATTTTTCATTTCTTCTTTAAAGACCCCTCTCATCTTCATAAAGTCATTTTCAGGTCATTTTCTTCTGCTTCTTCTATGTTGGGGTATTCAGGTTTTGTTGTTGTAGAACTGCTAGGTTCTGGTGATACCATATTGCTCTTTATGTTGTTGAATGTATTCTTGTTCTGGCATCTACCCATCTCTTCTCCAATCAGCACTAATGGCATTTGTGTCTCAGGGAGCTGCTGGGGTCTTGGGGGATGGCTGGCTTTGAGGGATGAAGTAGGACTTTTAGATTGCATGGTCCAATGAGGGGGGGAGGCCTTACCCACAGGAGTCTTGCCTGCTGGCCTGCAACTGGGGTTGCAATGGGTGGGGGCTGGGTGGTGCCCCGGGGGCCTAGGGCCTAGAGGCTGGGCTGACCAGATGGGAGAGCAGTCACTCACCTCTTGGTCCAGTTGGAGCTGGTGGAGTCTGTGTCTTAGAGAGCAGCTGCAGTCTTCTTGGTCAATGGGTGGGCTTGGGGAGTGGAGTGGGGCTTGTAGATTACAGGGTCCAATGGGGGGGTGGGGGGGCAGGTCTGCCTTCAGGGGTCTTGCCTGCTGGCCTGCAGCTAGGGCTGCCTGGACATGTGTCTTAGTCAATGCTCTATTGCTGTGAGCAGACACATGACCATGGTAACTCTTATAAAAGAAATAATTTAATTAGGGTTGGCTTACAGTTTCAGAGTTTTAGTCCATTATCAACACGGCAAGGATCATGGTGTCACAGGCAGACATGGTGCTAGAGAAGGAGCTGAGAGTTCTATACCTGGATTTGCAGGCAGCAAGAAGAGAGTCTTGGGCTTGGCTTGGGCTTCTGAAACCTCAAAGTGCACCCTCAGTGACATACTTCCTCCAACAAGAACATGCCTACTAATCCTTTCAAAAAGTGCCACTCCCTAAACATTCAAATATATGAGCCTATGGGGTGCCATTCTTATTCAAACAACTACAACGTGGTTGCCTAGTTCCTCAGTTTAGAGGAAATACTTTCAGTTTTTCCACATTAGAATATTGTTGGCCATAGTTTTGTCACATATAGCCTTTACTATGCTATGTTTCTTCTATTTCTAGTGTCTCTAGGGATTTTACTTGAAGGAGTGTTAAATTTTGTCAAGAAACTTTTCTGAATCTATATTTGTGTTATAAGGAATTTGAAACAGTAAAGAAAATCATCCTCACCCATATGTGTGGATATCAAACATCTGTTGAGGACTAGATAGACCAAAGTGGTGGAAGAAAGTAGAGTTTGCTTTTCTGGAGGTAGGACACTTACTTTTCCTGCTCACTTTGAACTTCTAGTTCTTAGCACTTTGGACTTGATCTGAATTGTTCTCCAGGCTCTCCTGAATCTCCAAATTCTAGACTATAGATGAAGGGACTTATTCTCCTTATTTGTTTAAGTTGACTCCATAGATAGGATCTGTTATCTGTCAACCTATCTATTTGTCCATCCATCCATCCATCCTTCCATCCACCCACCCACCCACCCATCCACTCATCTATCCATCATCTCTCATTGGTTCTATTTCTCTGGAGAATCCCCACAGAAGGATTACACTATAAGGTTCTCTGAATCCCTGGGGTTAAGATTTTGATATTTAAAGTTATTCTCTGATATTCTCTTTATATTTAAAGTTAGCCTCTGAAGTTTAAAAACAGAAAGAAAAGAAAAGAAGCAACCCTCTTCTGTTCCTTCAAAGCCAGCCTTTGAGGTTGTTGTCCATGGCTTTTGTTCTGCCTGGTGATCCTACCCTGAGGGTGGTGTATACAGAAGTGCTTGTAACTGCTGAGTGGAAGAGAAAAGAAAGGTTGATAGACAAAAAAGCAACTCCTTGAACTTTACAGGAGTAAGTAAAAAAAAAAAATTAGAAAGCTGTCCCACTTGAGTTGAGAAGCCATGGTTTCTGAAAGAGGTCTCCCAACAGAAGCCTGCAGCGTTTCCAGGAAGCTGGATGGGGAAGTGGCTGGGGAAACAGCATGGTGAGTCGTCTGACAGCTTCCAGGAATTTTGTCATAGGTCTCCTGGAACTGCAGAGCAGGAGTCACCAGTGTTTCTGTGACATTGTGAGGAGTCCAGGCCAAGAGGACCAATGGGCTGTCTGGATGATGACACCTTAGAACGGGGAGCAGCCCATCCAGGGGTCAGTCCTGTGGACATAGGGTTGGAAGACTCCACGTGAGAGGAAAACCCTTGCTACCTACTTCTAGTTGTTTAGTATAGTTCTCAAATTTTAACAGGAGTCATTTAGAACGATTGTTTAATAATGTAGATTCCTGGAAACTCCATCCAGAGAATCATACTAATGGGTCTTTCTAAACTGTGATTTTTAAAGATTAGATTTCTATTTAAAAAGGCAAGAATAACATAATTAATAATCAGGGGCACTACCACCCTTAATCCAAGCCAGACTGTTCTTACCCTCTGCTCTGGGCCTCTTCTGATCATGTCATACTCCACATTTGAGGAAGGTAGGGCTCAAGGACCTCAGCATGGTGCAGACTGTGACTAGCATCCTAAGTCAGGAAATGGAAGAGGAGAGGGCATTTTTCATTTATTTTAAGATATTGGCTCATATGATTACAGAGGCTGAGAAGTCCCACCTCCTGCTGACTGCTGGGCGCCCCCAGGAAAACTGGTGATATAACTCAGTGTGAGTCAAAACGCCTCAGACCCAAGAGCACTAATGGCGTAACTCCCAGTCAGGGGCCCAGAGAAGAAACCTGGGAGAGATGTCTTGGCATAAACAGGCAGGCAGAAAGCAAGCAGCGGTAATTCTTGCTTTCTCTGATTTTCCTTCTTCTCTGGCCCTCAGTGGATTAGGTGACATACATCTGCATATGGGTGGGCAGTTGCGTTGTTGTTTACATCCATTCGAAGCTAATTTAGAAACACCCTCACTGGCACACCAGAAATAATGCTTGATCTGGCCATTCCACGGCTAGACAAGTCACCACATACAGTCGCCATCATGGTCTCTGAGCTGGTTCCTAGTAGTGTGTGGACTTCCCTGGTCTGACTGTCGGAGAGCTCATCCTGCTGGGCATGCCTGTAGGCTGAGCAGTGGCTAAGAGGAGGGCATTTCTTGGGTTATGTCAATTAATGACCAGAGGACACTCTTTAAAAAGGCTAGCCATAGGAAAAAGGGCTCAGAGGCCAGGAGCTGGGATTGGGCTTTTTCTTGTGCTAGCTTTCTAGGCTGTTTGCTACAGACTTAGCTCCCCTATTGTCTTTAATCTCTCCCCACAAACTTCTGCTCCTACCATTACTCAGAAAGTTCCTGTGTTGATGTTACTGGAGACCTTTAAGTTGTGATATCTAACGGTCAGTTTCTGTCTTCATTGTGTATAGCCTGAAACTCATGTTTGCCACAGTTGATCATGTTTGCCTTCTAAAAATAACTTCCCTCTTTCAGTGTCCAGGAAGCTACTCTGATTTTCTGGAACTATTCCCATGTCCATTTACAGTGTGAGTCCCTCTGCTGTTTCCTCCTGTTCTCCCAGCCTCTAAGTACCCAGGACTGTGCACTGTGAATATCTTGTCTTCTCTATCCATATTCACTCTGCTGGTTAACTCAGTCAGTCTTGTGTGTTTAAATACTACACACCCCTCAATTTTATATCTCTGGAATTGCTCTTTCTGAACACTACATCCTATTCCTTAACTTTCTATTTGAAAGTCTAAAATCTCAAATCACTATATGCATGTTCTGAGAAGATTAGACTCCGACTTAAAGAGGCTAGCATAGAAAATTTAATAATCGGGGACACTGCCACCCTTAGAGTCATGCTTTTCCTGCTGCTTGACCAACCACCATTTCCTCCCTGGAGGAACTGCTAGTTTTGCCTGCCACACCTTCAGCTCTGCCTGTCCTTTAGCTTGGGTCAGACACCTTGGAGTCTTTTACTTTCCATGTCCTTTGGAAGAGTGTGTCTGAGGTTTGAACCCGCTCCTGTTTCATCACCGCCCTTATTGCGATCACCCAGTCCACCCGCCATCACCCTGATGAGGCCATGGTCTCTAACTACTCTCCCCATTCCTGTGGCCGGTTCCAGAGGTGGCAGCCATTGTGACCTGCAGGCCATTTCCATAAGTTCAGATGCCTCCTCTTCTATTACCCTCCAGTGGCTTTTTGTTTATCATTGAACGAGGGTTAACAGCACCAGGAGGCCACATGGGATCTTGGAAATGCTTTGACCTCTTAGCTCTTCCTTCCTGCTTCCTTTCCTCCTAATCTCTCCTACACCATGTTGGTCTCTTCTTCTTCCCCGACACCAGGCCAGACTGCCCTCTCCTTAAGCTCCTGCTGTGATGCTTTCATGTCCATTGGTTTTCATGTCCATTGGTTAATCAGTGCCCCTCCAGTAGAATGCAAGTTCCAAGATTTAAGTGGTATTTTTTCTTCACTGAGCCCGGTATATGTCTAGACCTTGTAAGTCCTCAACATGTATTTGGTGAGTTGAGTGAATGGAAAATTAGTTGGAACTAGGCAATAAAAGAAAACCAACTCACAAAAGGAACAGAACACACTTGGCTGTGAATTTGATGTTAAAAAAAAATTGCCAAGAAACAGAAAAGCCATCCTGGAATTTTTTCTGGACATTGTTTAAGACTTTTTAGATAAAGGGTGATGTGTAATTTGATTGTTAGGGGAACTGAACGTTGTTTACTCTTCTAAAATTTAAAGTTGGGTGTGGTGTTACATAATTTTAATCCCAGCAATCAGGAGGCAGAGGTGGGAAGATCTCTGAGTTTATGTCCATCTTGCTGTATAAAGCAAGGTCCAGGACAGCTGGGACTACACAGTCAAAGCCTGTCTCAAAAAACCAAAACAAAAAAGTTAAATGAAAACTTATTTATATTTATGTGTGTGGGTGTTTTGCCTGCATTCATGTCTGTGTACATAAAACTATGCTTGCACATGCCAGATATGAAACTGGAGTCACAGGCAGCTGTCAGTGCTGGGAATTGAACCCAGGTCCTCTGGAAGAATAGTTATTGCTCTTATGCATGGAGCCATCTTTCCAGCTCCACAAGTATTCTTAAATATAAGTCAATGACTAAATCTCTGTTGTTTTCACAGACTCCTGAATGGCACCTGTTACCTCTCCCTTAAAAGCCCCCATATCTGCAGGAGAGGAGCAGTAGAGAATTGGGGGTTGCTAATGAAAAGCCACTTCCTTAAGTCTTTAAACCCCCAAAGAACCAACTACTTGCTCTCACATAAGGATTTGTTTAACTGAAATATTTACAAACAGATAAGGAACAGCAGAAAAGAAACATTGTTGGGGTTCTTGGTGACCCAAAAAGAACAAACCCTGAACCTGCCACTGATGTCTAAATACCTGGTTTCTCTGCATACTTAGAAAACCTTACATAATGTATAAAATATGCAAAAAAATTAAACAAATCATAAAGACCACTGAAAATTGGAGAAGCACTGAGGCCAGTGTAGTCCAAGCTCTTCCTGGATCAGGGACATTTATTGGTACCATGCCAGCACCAAGAACCTAGGTCTGCCTTTGCCAATGTTCTCTGTAGACATGACTCAGCTAGCAGCTGCTGAATTTGCACAGGTTTGAGTGAGTGAGTATCACAGTCATGTAATGAAGTGTTTGCTACGGTGTTAATAACTGACAGAGCCTTGGATAAATATTGAAGTCCAGCCATTCTTTTGGAGTTGAAACTCTCTTCCAGTTCTTCTTAGAAGTATTTTGCTGACAGATGTCATGCACCTATAAATATATGCATGTCACGGCTTGTGTGGTTGACCCATATGCTTCTGGGAATGTTCACGAGTCTTAGGTCAGGTCTCTAGGGGCAGAGCCTGGAATGGAGATTCTTGTGCAAGTGCTTCACTGAGAGAATAGCTCAGGAGGAATCATGGGAGGGAGTAGTCACCAGACAGAGGGGGAGGAGTCAGGGAAGATGGACAGGGAGAGGAAGAAGCTGGTAAAGTTGAACTTCAACCTGATCCTGTAGGGTTTTCTGGAGCAGGTGGCATTGAGGAGTTGTCCTGCCTAGTGACAAGGAGGCGGGTCCCTTGTGCCCTTCCCATGGACTGCCCAGGAGTAGTTGGGAAAGTACAGCTCTTACAAGCATTATCAGGCAAGGAGGGGCACAGCTGAAGAGCACCAGCACTCAGCAGATGCAGGTGGAGGCCTGGAATGGAGGCCGGGGGCGGAGATGGGAACCTAAGATGTTATCACTGATAGCATCTGCCATAAAGAGAATAAGCAGGCTGCATTGCAGAACAGAAGCCGTGAGTAGGGATCAGAATATCAGTTTTCTAGTGTTAGTTTTGCTTTTCTGATGCATCACTACTAATATTCTGTAAAATAATGATATTGAAAGTTGTGTTCAGAAAAGTCTGCTTTTCTCCCGAATTCTATCATTCTTGGGCAGCATGCTATTAAAGGGCTCTTTCTTGGCAGGTAAGATAAAGACCCATTTGTGAGGCTGCTGAGGGGATGAAGAAGATGGCTGCTTCTCCTACACAGCTCTGTGATAGCACATACCGCACAGATGCTCTATTCATAGGCAATAAGTGAATTATTATGTTTACCCATATTTATTTTTTATGCATATATAAAACAGATTTTTTACTTTAAATGTAATATGACATTTATACTGGTTGTTTTGTATTATGTTCTCTCCATCTTAGAGCCTAGGAAGATAACCTTCATTCTTAAGTGTGGAAAGCACTGAATGGGAATATGAACTAGGGAAAGTCTAAGAATTCACAAGAACCCAATTATACTATGATTTTCTTAATGGTAATTTTACAGGCACACATTCATCCACATCTATGAGTATTCAGCAAGTGACAATTGTAAAGACAATTGTAAAATGGCTCTCCTCCTCTGAAGGGTAGACTGGTGTTTTAGAAGCCTAAGACTTGCTGGTGGTGGCTAACCTCTCCTTGTCCTGGGAGACTAAAGATGTAAAGCCATACAGGGAAGGAATGCAGTAATGTCACCAGATTCCCAGTTAACTTATTTCCATTGCACCATAAAAGCAAATAATTCAAATTGTGAACAATTACAGGTATTTGGTCCAGAGCATATGTACTCAGTTAAAAGTACCATTAGCTGGTCTCTCTCTCTCTCTCTCTCTCTCTCTCTCTCTCTCTCTCTCTCTCT